AAGGACGGGACCATTCGGATGTGCGTGGACCTCCGTAGCGCAAACAAAGCGGTGGTAATTGACAGCTACCCCCTCCCACACATCGAAGAGCTACTGAATGCGCTTCACGGCGCACATCACTTTTCGAAATTGGACCTTGCAGCAGCATACCACCAAGTGCCCTTACATCCCGACAGCCGTGATATCACAGCGTTTATCACACACGAAGGGCTGTTTCGCTTTAAAAGAGTATGTTTCGGCTTGGCTTCCGCTCCAGCAATTTTTCAAAATATGATGTCCAAGATCCTGCATGGTTGTCAAGGGGTTTTGTTTTACCTCGACGACATTGTCGTGTTCGGCAGGACCCCACATGAACATCTGGAACGTCTGCGGGAAGTGCTACAACGGATTTCTGACGTGGGCCTAAAGCTGAACAACAAGTGTGTTTTCGACGTCACAGAACTTTCATTTCTGGGACACAAAGTTAGTGGAGCCGGAATTGCCCCTTTGCAACCATAGGTGGATGCCCTACAGGCTGCTCCCATTCCAACAGATCTGACGCAACTGAGATCGTTTCTCGGTATGGTTGAATATTATTCTCGTTTCCTACCCCATCTGGCTTCAGAGGTGGAGCATCTGCGTAGGTACCTTCGAAAGGACATGCCTTTCATTTGGGATCAAGATGCGGACCAGAGGTTCCGGCGTGTGAAGAGGTTGCTGTCATCGGCTAAAACTCTCAAGATGTTCAATCCACGCCTGCCCATCATCGTAGCCACGGATGCTTCCGCCTATGGACTGGGAGCAGTGCTGCAGCAGCTTCACGGCAAGGAAGTTCAGACTGTCGCCTTTGCTTCACGTACGCTCACTCCGGCTGAGCGCAAGTACTCCACGGGAGAGCGAGAAGCCCTTGCCTGCTTGTGGGCGTGCGAGAAATGGCACGCCTACCTCTGGGGTCGCCGTTTCACCTTACGCACAGACCACCAGGCTCTCGCGTCGTTGTTGAGCACGCGAGGAACTGGACTTCGTCCACTCCGCATCACTCGGTGGTCGACACGCCTCCTGAAGTATAACTTCCAAGTGGAATACCAGCGGGGCAGCGAAAATCAGGTCGCGGACACACTTTCCAGGCTCCCTGTACCAGCTGACGAAGGTGGCACAGATTTCGACGAAGAGATCGTGTCTTTCACCGCGCTGGAAGACGAATGCATCACAAAGGCTCAGCTTCAACAGGAAACAGCTGACGACCCGGAACTGACCGCCGTGATGTCCTTTATCACCTCGGAATGGCCACCGTGGAGGGAGCCGTCTTCTGACGAAGCCATCTTCTACAGCATTAAAGACACACTCTCTGTGTACGATGGTCTACTGCTACGGGGTGATCAGTTCGTCGTTCCTGCGAGCATGAGAAAATCACTCATCGCGCGAGCGCACGAGGGTCACCCAGGCATCGTCAGGACACAGGCTCGCCTTCGTGATCTCTACTGGTGGCCACGCATGAACGCGGACGTAAAAGCGGCAGTACAAGCATGTGTTGTTTGCAAAACCGCTGACAAAAGCGCGAAGACATCGCCAACACCCTTGCAACCAGTCCCACTGCCAGAGCGGCCGTGGTCGAAGGTCGGAATTGACATTGTCGGTCCCTTCGAGAGAGCACCACCGGCTCTCCGCTATGTAATCACGGTGGTCGATTACTTCTCCAAGTGGCCGGAAGTACACTTCTGCCCTAACGTCACCACTAAGGCGGTGACAAATTTTCTACATATGGTCTTCACGCGCGAGGGGTATCCAGAGAGTGTCGTATGTGACAACGGGCCCCAGTTTACGTCCGAGGAGTTTAAGAGGTTCCTGGCTCATCGTGGTATAAAGCACCAGCTGGTCTCGAACTACCATCCGCAAGCCAATGGGCAAGTTGAAAGATTTAATCGCACATTCAAGTCCTACGTACAGTGTGCTTCACTCGAGAACCGATCGCTACAAGCCGCAGTTCTTGACTACATTTTCATTTACCGGTGTACACCGCACGCGACTACGGGACTTTCTCCCGCTCTTCTCCTCCACGGTCGCAAGCCGCGCAACAGGCTACACATCCTTGGACTCTCGTACACGGAGTTCCTTAAGAACCCTGTTGAGGAAATGCAGCGAATGCGCGACCGCGTACGGCAACGACAAGAGAAGAGCGGGTTCTACACTGACGGAAGACGGGCGGCCAAGACACCGCGTTTTAGAGTGGGTGATTTCGTTAGGGTAAAGAAGCCGGGCCATATACGCAAGGGAAGCCCAGCGTTCACTCCTCCAATGCGAATAATCAAGCAGGTCGGGAGATGGACGTACCAACTTGAGGATGGCAGGGCGTGGAACGCTTCAAAGTTGTCGGTCGTCCCAGAGCCCGAGACGAGCATGCACAACCAGAGCAGGCCAGCAACGAGGAACGATACACTTGTACAGCCCACTTCAAGTGAAGCCAAAAGAGTTCCTCAAGGTGTAACCCCTACCGGAGGTGCAAGCAAGCAAGCAAAACTTTATTTTCTGTAAGGGCCTACGTCCTGGTCCGGACGGCCCGTCCGGCCCACGTCTCGCGGATGGATTCCGCAAGGGGACCGGAGTGATTAGTTAGTACTTCTAGTGCGGTGGATATGTCGGTGCCCGTAGGTGGAGCCAGCCATTCCTCCCAAGAATTGATATGTGAGAGGGTTGGGGGAAGGGTGGGTGGGTTACAAGACCAGTAGGTGTGAGGGATGGAAGGGTATTCTCCGCATTTTGGGCAGGTGGGGGAGCCGGGTCGTTTGTAGATGTGGTGGAAGATGTGGTGCGATGGAAGAGAGTTGGTCTGGGCTTGCCTGACGAGGGAGGATTGTTGCCTAGACATGGTCTTTGGTGGGTGAGGGTAAATGGTCCGCTCTTCACGTTGCTCTTTTAATCTCGACTTCCGCAGGGCTCGGTGAGCGTTCCTTGTTGTGCCTACCGAGTAGATAGCCGGCCATGACGTGACGGGACCCGGGGAGTTTTCGCGGGTGAGACGATGGGCTGTCTCATTTCCCTCCACGCCTTGGTGGCCAGGCGAGATGGTGCCACCATGACTGGCAGCCAACCGCTGCTACTCCCACGCAGTGGCAGCGACAACAGCACCGACCACACATAGAGCCTTCCTTGACTAGTCCGATACGGTGGCAAAGACAACAGCGTCGACCTTATACACCGCCAACCTTCGAGACCCCAAGACAGCCACGTGAACTCAGGATGGAGCCCTGTGCAACGCCGTCGGGACGTGGCTCGGGACAAAGGGGGCAGTTGCCGGTCGGTGAGCCTTTCCCCTCCGGAGAGGCAGCGCATTCGCCAGACAGTGCAATGGAAACGCCCCGACTGCCAGGACTGCAAAGGCCACGTCGAAACCGTCGACCACCGTTGTACTATGGCGATTTTGTTTGATTAACGAAATGTACATAGGAGTCTATGGAAATCGATGCGTGTGAGTTAGCCTGATTATCTTTATAGTTCCTGGCCAGGAACACCTAAGTCTGAATGATGTGAATGTGTTTTGATGTAATAACTGTATTGTTCGCATGCGCGTTAAAACTGTGTTGAAACTGTATTGACATATATGTAACTGATGGTGTGTTGGTTATGTGTCTTCTACGCTATGTCCTATTTCTATCCTTCTCTTTTTCTCGACTGTAATATATTCACTTTTAGTTTTCTTGTCATTTAAGGGGGGGAGAAATGTTGTGTTCATCATGTTTCGTTATCACTTCCTTTTCTTCTCTGTGTTGTCCTATCTGTCATGTTATCATCATTCTGGGATATAATGGGAATGTCTCGTGACATAAAGCAGTCTTCCTGAGAGCTCCGACTGGACTGGTCGTTCTTCACACACGTCCCCACACCCGGGGACTCTACATGCTCTAAAGTGGGTTCTGTTATTGACAACCACTCAGCACCAGGGTGCCTGAAGCGTCACAAGCACAAGTTTGTTCCCTGCTCAGAGGGTGTTGTGTACAGGATCCCCCTAACGTGTGGAGGTTGTTATGTCGGACAGACTGGACGTTGTCTTAATGACCGACTCCGTGAACATTTCTATTCACTTCACGCCACAGTGGGCGGCCTCCTGCCCTTACACTGGCGCACCTGTCAGTGCTCGCCAACTTTTTCGGAGACAACAATATTAGGACGATATATAGATCGGCAAACCACAGAAATTTCAGAAGCCTACCACATCCAAAAATCAGGCCAGCTGTGTGTGAGTCACCCTTCACTATCTTTGTGTGACAGGGAGGTAGACTTCCTAGCCAGGGCATACGAGTGATCTTGGCCGGTCTGTACGTTTTGCAAATGTTTTTGTTTTTTCTTAATGTTTTTTCTTCCTTTTTTACTCCATTTTTGTGTCGTGCCTTTATATTGTAGTTGTTTTCTTCTTTTTTTACCGCAACTGTTTTTCTCGTTTTTCTTCGTTTTACCCTGTGGGTGCGCGTACGTTTCAAACCAAGCGGCGGTCTTCGCGACGGTAGTCTTCGCGGGGCCGTCCTAAGCTGCTGACTTCTAGCAGGCATGTCCCGAGCACCTGGCGAGGGCTTCCAGCTTGCCCAGCATACAGATGATCCCGCCGAATTTACGCTGACGGAGTAAGTCCATCACCCCCGCAATGGAGCTCTTGGAGGTGGCGGTGTTGGCCGGGCGGCGGTCTTTGCGAAAGCGGGCCTTGACGTCTCCCAGCTTGCGGCCGAGCTAGCAAGCCAGCAGCTTGAGCACCCTCTCGATCCAAGACATGGTGGGTGCCACTGGTTTGGTTGGCTGTCTGACAATGAAAAAGCACGTCTCACGGCCCTCTTGACAAATAACAGAGCAAGGGAGAGCCAGGGGCAGCAAAGCCGGACCTCTGTCGACGTGACCAGGCGTCAACAGGCCCGACCCCCAGCCTGCTTCTCACGTAGGCCGGGCACCGATCTGCCTGAATTCGACAAGGCTGCGTGGGGGGCAGCCTTCAACATCCGCTGCCAATGAATGGGACTCTGGGACGTTCATAATACCGGGCCCAAGCTCCACCTTTGATAACAACTGAAGGCCGACCTCTTCGGCTTGCGTCACGCCTTCGGCTTGCGTCACCTCTTCGGCTTCCGGTGTCATCTCTTTGGCTTCCGGTGTCATCTCTTCGGCTTCCGGTGTCATATATTCGGCTTCCGATGTCACCTCTTCGGCTTCCATCGCCACCTCTTGGGACTTTCGTCGCCCCCCGTCTTGGACGAACAGTAGGCTAACAAACACATGACCCCCCGTGTCATCTCTTCGGCTTCCATCGCCAGCTCTTGGACTTTCATCTCCCCCCCCCCCCCCCCCCCGTCTTGGACGAACAGTAGGCTAACAAACACATGACCCCCCGTGTCATCTCTTCGGCTTCCATCGCCAGCTCTTGGACTTTCATCGCCCCCCGTCTTGGACAAACTTTGAGCAAACGAGCACTTGAACACCTTAAAGAACAGGACTAAGAAGTATGACAGTGTTAATAGCTAACAGATATATTTTGCTGCTTTGTTATAGACTATCCCTACCGAAAAATCCGGTATAACTTTCCCTATCCGGAATATGGAACCGGAAATTTGTTACTGGAAACCCGAAATCCAGATTGCAGACAAAGGAATAATTTCTGAGAACCTAAATTCCAGATAGAGTCCAGATAGAATCCAGATAGATTTCCGGTTCCATAATCTGGATAGCGAAAAGTTATACCGGATTTTTCGGTAGGATAGTATACTGTGAATACTTTTTAACGTATCCTTCTGTGGCCTCCGCTATAATCCACCGTTAAAAAGCCTCTGACACGCCAAAAAAAATGTATTTTATTCTAGGCGTTGAAATGACATGTCAGGACATTACAAAAAATTTTTTCACTATAGAAGTGCGTAGTTTTGTTATAAAAAATAGAAATACGAGGCCCAATTCAAAGTTCCCGCCAGTACACTGTGATGTAACAGTGTACCGCAAGGTGTCGGGGCGGTCAGAAGGGAGGCATCGCCGGAAGTCACGTGAGCTGTATCCCTCTTCGTGCTTACCGCGAGCGCGTGTAATATTTTTTTTAATAGTTTTGTTATTCTCCGCACCTCCACGAGCGATCCAAGCAGACAAAGTATCTTTTATTTGCTTTTCATCGCTTAATGTTGCTGTAAACGTAGAAGAGGAGTCAGTGAATTGGCGTGATCAACTACAGTGCCTAGAAGGTGCTCTGTGAGGGACTGTCCCGGTATTTCAGCAACTGAAGAAGAGATCACACTGCATGCGTTTCCGAGAGACGGCAGGCATTTTCAGCCTGGAGAGTATACGATGATTCGACAACCTCGGTGTCCGAAGCTTCAGCAATGCAATTGGACGTGTCTTACGCAAGCAATCCTAATTTCTGCGAGCGTCCTAAATTTTTTTTTCAAAACTTGATAGCTTTTTTTGTGCCCAGTATAGCTCTGTATCATCGGACTGACGGCATGCACCCGTGCACTGGCTTGTACTCGCAACGCTTTTATCATTGACCTCCATCACGTCGATCTACTGACTCTTCGTCCTCAACTTTTACAGCACGCAAACTAACCAACGGTGCAGCGATAAAGAGCTAGTGGAACTGAAACTTCGTTTTCTACAATCGCTCGTACAAAGAGCAGAAAATTAAAAAAAAAGTCGTAGGCACGATTGCGGAGAGTACGAGGAGTGAAACTCACTTGACTTTCTGCGAACCCACTTTTAGTGACGTATGTGGATGCCTCCTTTCTGACCGCCCCTACACCTTAAAGGAGCTGTGCAACGATATTCAATTGGAATGTTTTTCTCTCTACACTAGCTTACTGGCACACCTCGGACTCAAGGATACTCACACGCAACACCATTGGCCAAGAAACTCCTTTGTTGTGGTGTAATTTCAAGGACAAAAGCGATCATTTTCATTCAATCTCTCCTTTGCAAAATTTGATGACGTAACTCGGGGATCGCAGTACACCCAAGTGACGATATTTGAATGCGGTTCACAGATTGGACCCGAGCATTGCGTGGGCACTCGACTTGGGCTCGTGACAATTGCTAGCTCGAGAAGCATTCGGGTTGTGACCCGTGTCCAATCGCTGCAACGACGACAACAGCCGAGCGATAACAATGTCTGGAACTCAGCGCGTGTCCTGCGCTTTGCCAACCCCTGCGCGTGCTATGATCAACACTGGCGGCATATAATCGGCTCCAGATCACGTGGCCGCTTGTTCTGGCTGCGAGTTGAGGGGGTGAACGCCGCTCGTTTTTCTTAAATTTTTTTCTGGGACTTCTATTGCGTGGGGTGAAAAACGAACGCGTGTTTCATAGGTCATTAACGTTAGGGATCCGATTTAAGCGGTATTTGTGCACAGTACAAAAATTGTTGCATCGCTCCTTTAAGGTACACTGTTACGTCACAGTGCACTGGCAGGAACTTTGAATTGGGCCTCCTATTTCTATTTTTTTTATTAAAAAAAACTACGCATCCCTATAGTGAAACAATTTTTTTTGTAATGTCCTGACATGCTATTTCAACGCCTAGCATAAAAAAAAAATATTTTTTTTGGCCTGTCAGAGGCCCTTTAAGCTAGCAACAACCGCATCACATGAGACAAAAGACATGGTGTCTTTGTACAGACACGATGACGGACATATTTGGGGGACTTGCCTCAAGCATCTTCGAAGCAGTTTTGATTCGGACATCTGTATGCTCCCCACATGTCTGCAGACAGTTCGTACATGACCGATGTCACCAACAAACAAGAGAGAAGCACGCCTCAAATAGACTTGTCTTTTGCATGACGTAATGCGGTGTGACCGCGGCAAGAGGAACGTTAGCGAGTCCGCCAGTTATGTCAGGTGCCTAGAGCGGACTCGGAGCGCAGAGAAGGACTCTGCGTCACCTCCCGCGACTGCTTGAGAGCAGTTAGTCGCTGGATGGCTCATGGGTGAGCACAAGATGAATTTTATACTGGATCTTAAGAATGAAACACGCGTCTCATGCCCGAGCCCCCCAAAGCGACAAACAGATACAACAGACACCGACAAGCCTCAAACTCATGCATCATACACGCGAAGGTATCTTTGGCAGGCATGCCACCACTCCTGCTAACTTCACGAGCACTGAGTTTGTAAGCCTACGAAAGGTACTATCGCGTGCATGTCGCACGTGTTTGAGCTATGGTTTCAGGCTTGTCAGTGTCTTTTGTTTCTGTTCGTCACTCTCGTGGGACTCGGGCATTACGATTCGAGCCGGGTGTCAAAGAGAAATCGGATTACAAAAAACTTCTACCGCCCGCAAAAAAAAGAAAAAAAAAAGAAGGTTATATTACGGAATTTATTGCACGCCGTTTGAAAATACGCTTTCATTAATAACATATTTGCAACTTCCGTACTGTAAGTACTCACGTGTGTCTTCACGTTTTTTTTAGTAAATTATCATGGAGCTGTTTTTTTCTCGCCGATGTTACCCTTCGATACTCGGCTTGTTATTTTAGCTACCCGCCCCAGCGGATTTCGGCTTGCCGTTGTTGATATATGTCGCTATCTTTCAAAGTATCGCTGCATTACTCTTGCTAAGACAAATTTACAAATGTTCCCAAAATTTTTGAAATACAAAACAAAAAAGCTTAGGTTTTTCGTTTGTTTTTTTTTTTGGCCCGGCCCGGGGGGGGGGGGGGGGGGGGGGAGGAGGGCTTTAAAATATTTTGCGATTTTGCATCGCCCACCTTAACATCTGTTAGTAAAATCGGGGTCCGGTCCCCGCAATCCCTCATTTTTTTATAGTAGCTGACCGCTCAAAGGGGCTGTACTACAATATTGGGTAGGAACGTTTCTGACTTTCCACCAGCTTACTGGCACTAGTGGAAACAAAGGATACTCGAAACCAACTCCACTAACCAAGAAGCGTCTTCGTGGCGGTGGGACTCCAGAAACCAAAAGCTGACCTTTTCTTTCAGTCTCTCCGTCGCCGAGCTTGATGACTGAGCTGTGGAGACAATGCCTGAGCTGTGGAGACAATTCGTATTAGCTCGCATAAAACAATTAAACCTCTTTATCTGACAGAGCTACCGACGGTGCACTGTCCAGCTGCCAACGCATTGTCTTTTTTACGGGTGTCCGATGTTTTGATTTTATACATGTGGCGTCATTAATATACAATATAGGTGATTACTAATTCCCGAGGAATTAGTAAATATGCCCAATGAACTTCAAGAATATTACAAAAAGAGGAAAATTTTTTAATAAAGTGACAAATAGTAATTGTGTTAAATTGTCACGTGTGACGCGCAATCCGCTAACCTAACAACAATTAAAAAAAAAAATCGGTGAGCTTTTTTCGACATCCGCTCAAAGGACGGCGAGCTTTTTTCCGCATCTCCCGGTTTTGCGGTGAGCTTTTCTCCAGTGAGCTTTTCTCTGGTGAGCTATTCTCCGGTGAGCTTTTCTCCGCCACCCGCTGTTTTCACCATGGGTTTCCTTCTCAGTTATATACCCACGCCTTCGAGCCCCCACCACCATGCCCGTTATATATATATATATATATATATATACAACACGGGCACTTCCCACCATCCTGGCTCCGCCGTTATTTTCGCTTTCGGCGGGTTCCTGAAAACTTTAATTCTTTAATTTATTAGAATAAGCTGGTTCATTCATCTGCATATGTTCGTTTATATATATATATATATATATATATATATATATATATTAGCCGATATCAACAACAATTAACTAAAAATCTGGAGTGAAGATAACAGTTAAGTAACACCCCGCGCACTTGTGCTCTCAGTTACTATCAGGGAGTAAAAAGAGTCAAGATTAAAAAAAATAAAGCAAGTCACATTTAATTGGTCAATCCGTTTGATCGCTGAAAGCAGCGCAGTCTTTAGGAAAATAGTTAAAAAATTTGCGGTATATCGAAAGCGTAGTTTAAATACGAACATTTTATTCTTGTAAGCTCCGCCATTCTAGAACAAAATCTTTATTTACTTTTTTTGCGTTATGATTTGCTTGCAAAAGCACATTATTTAGGCGATCAACAAAGTGGAAAAAAACAGCAACAAAAAACTTAACGTTTTGATTTGCTCAGAAACTTACATTTCTTTGCTCGTGTGCGTCAGATGCCCACAAAAAGCGCGAAATAATGAACAAAAACTAAATAAAATAAAGTTGGTGAAGAAGTTTGAGGGAAAATAAGA